GGTTTACAAAGTAAATAGGTATATACGGTCCAGTGCTCAAATGGTGAGAGTGACAAATGGTCATTAAAATAAATACGGAGGTAACTGCCTCTGTGCTATTTCTTTCAGGGTCATAGCAGTGTGTTAAGCAAGGAAATGCTTCTCGTTTCCTAAAACGCTGCGAAACTTTATTATAAGCACGAGTGAAACAATCTTTCCATTCTCAGCAAGGTCCCTCCTAACCCGGCAGTTCTCATCTCCGTTTCTATATTTTATTTCTGTTTTTCAGTCTTCATTGTGACAAATAGTTTTAAAGGCTACGGACCTCTGTGCCCATGTGTCTCCATACTGCGTTTGATTTGCAAGCAACGCACATGATTAGTTTTATCTTTAAAGAAAGCCCTCTTTCCTTGACACACAACCGCCAGTTATCTACACGATGTAGCTATAGAAAAAGTTTACGTTAAAAAAAAAACGGGGTGGGTTTTTAAGCTTAAAAACGTTCGGGATTCAGAGAATACAATCCTGGCACCAGAAGCCCACTTCTAAACGTTATTTGGTGTAAAATATCTTTGCCTAGATTAACAGATTGTTTACTCATAAATAACGATATTCTCATACTATGCACGTTATTTGCCAAATAAAATGACTTTTTATATATTTTGAAGTTAGTCGTAGTTCAATGGAAAGGTGTAAACTATACTTTAAAAACCGAGCTAGATACATACAAGAAAGAAAATCATATTGCTGGCAAAAGCGTTTGTGCAATATAAGAAAATATAAGAATATTACAATTACTTTACATATCTTGCTCACACAGCCCTCTCAAGTGTCCCGTTTGTTGAGTAGAGTTAAATGATCAGAAAGACCTATTAAAAAGAAAGCCAAAACTGCAGGCCCGTAAAGATTTTTTTTTCTGAAATAATGGTAGATAAACATATAATTTCATTATCCCTAATAAGACAATATGAAGTATGATATTTTTTTCTTGCGATCTAGATCTGATTTGAGATGAAAATCTCTTCTCTCCACCCCAGGAGGCGCTGTTTATCAAACTTCATCACCTTCGCACGATTCCTCTACACTAGAAATTCTTCACTTATAGAATTAAACATCCTTGCTCGGACTTTTTTTTTTAATTAAACTCATCTAATATTTTAAAAGGTGCCTGCCTTTCTTTACCTTTCGCTGATATCCCATCATCACAATTAACTCGAGACCCCTTTTTTTTCCGGATCCAAGAGGAGGTGGGGAAGGGGAGGGACAAACAAACGTGTGTTCCTATAGATCCGAAACATCTTTAGCATAACATTTACGTTACAAATAATTAAACTAGTTACAGAAAAGTACTGGTATTTTATCTCCCTGGCACACCAAAAATAAAAGACAGATTTTGGCACTCAGAACACACACACAGAGTAAATCGATATAAACCTACTTTTGTCTCTTATTATTAGTAGTATTAGTATTTAGTAGTTCCAGACATTATAGGGCGAGGCTTATGTGATTAAGTATATATAGTCCGTACCTATTTTCATTCGGCTTTTACCTGAAGCTCTGGATGTGTAAGAATCTGAATCCAAGTCAAGTATGTGGACAACTAAAACAAACAAACAAATAAATTGTGAGGCAAGTAAGAGAAAAAATAGTGAGAGTTTCTTAAATCCGTGATAACGTTTAACCTGCCCCACACACATAGCTTTATGTGGACGATTTAGCATACGGATTTTTTTTTTTAAATCCCCCACGTCCACTCTAAACCGTCCTCCTTGTTTGTCCCTGTAACTTTGCCCTTTGTGTTGGGGTTGTTGTGAGCTGTTTGGAAGGAAGTGGTGGATTTGATTTAGTGAAGAAACACAGACAGGTAGGTCGGATGCAGTTCTAGTTCTTGAAACCTTTTCAGCATCTCTGTGCTTGTCGCTTCTCCCGGAGAGGAGATGGTAACTGTGAACAGAGGCCACCAAACCTCTGCACCCGCAGCCAAAGAACACATGTCCTGTGCAGCCCCGGAGCCCAAGACTCCAGCCCTGGATGCGGGGGGATGATCCCCTCTGCCTAATTCAGTTGCTTGCTGCATTAACACCTTGTGCCGGAACTGCCGGAGTATTATCAGTTCAGACTTTCTCTGCAATGTCGATTTCTTAAAAACTGCACCGTGTTATGCTAATTAAAACCTTAGCTAAGTATTTTCCCCTCGAATTTACACTGGGAACTGTATTCTGAAATATCAGTCAGCGGTCAACCCCCCTAAATGGGAAATCCACTTTACCTGGGAATTCCATTGCTATATTAAAAATACCTGAAACGCGAATTTATAACTCCTTTGAAACACAGGAAACAAGAGTTAGAGATTTGTTTCGGTTAAATCGGGCATAAATTACACCTACTGTAACCAAACACGTTAATAATGAAGGCGCCTTAAAACAATAAAATTGAAGAATGTTATGTTGGCAAGTTTGATTCTCATCCTGTACTTGGCCCCTCTAAGAAAGCAATCGTAAGTTAGCGAAGGACAAGATTGAAACTAGTGTAGTCATCACTTCAGCAGTTTCCCAGCTGAACTTTCAACTGAAAAAGTTTCTTTGGTAAACTAAGCTGTCACACACTGGTAGAAGGAAAGGAGCAGCACTGGATGTGAGCACCATGCAGACCATGCAATTTACTACAAAGTGCATACGTGTGAAAAGTGGTATGATTTAAAACATCGGAATGTAGCGTTTTCTTTCAAGACAAAAATTTGAAATGATTAAGATAATAGTCCCAAGAGAATTGTCCTGAGGAAAAAATAATAAAGTTGAGGAGAATCCTATAACAGCATTGGAAATGAGGCTATCAATTTTAATCTGTGAGAGCCATGTACAGTATGTGATTATGTGTTATTACGCTGGGTTGTTAGAACACTGGGAGAAGGAGGAAAAGAATCTTACACTTGATTTATGGTAGATGTTGAGATTTCCTTTTCAAGCTTTTACAGGGTGATGTCTGTATACTGGGATATGCTGAAGGAATAAACCGAAAGTGCTTTCCGATTCTGGAGCCGGGAGAGTGGAAAAGCAAGGGAGGGCTCTGTCCCTTTAAGGTCACTGCATGCTCTGGTATGATGTTTAGGAGGACAGCTGGGCAATGGCCATCTGACTGACTTCGGCTTGACATCTGGGAGCCCACTGGTGTGTGGCACGCGAATCGCTTGATGTCGCTATTTAAATGCAAATTTGTGGGGGATCATTGAAGCCTCACCCCGTAAATTCACACAAAAGGAATACTTCACACACTATAAGGAGGAGGGTCGTTACTTCGGGAGGTCTTGGCTGCAGCATGCAAATCTCATTCAAATCCACACACCTTCTGCATGACTAACTTTTCTAAGGTCAAGATTTGGTAACTACCACGCTTCCCAGAATGATCCCAGGCAGAATTTAGACATGTCATGTACCTGCTCAGATGAGACACACTCATTTCGGAGCTTCTCCTTAAGACAAGCTGTTTCCAAGGAAAATGTGTTTCTTTCCAAACCTATTTTGTTTGCTAAGGACGCTACTGGCCTCTCTGATCCGCCTGAGATTTCAAAAGTTAAAAACATTAAATACAAGTTAAGCGTCAAATGAGCAGAACGCCTGCACCTATTACACTCTTCACTCTTCCACACTGCAAACTACACATAGCTAGGTTTCTAATCTGGCAACTATCTTTTCTGTTACAATGTGTGAATTACACGGACGGAGGGACAATTTGCCCCTCTTTAAATATGAACTTTTATTTTATTCAGACTCCAGACTACTGTATGTGAGCTTTTGAGTATGCTTGCCCTCCATGCTAAACATAAATCTACATTTTAAGAATATCACACACAGGCTACTCCTTGCCTCACATCAGTCTGGAAACCTCAGATTTTGTGGGAGGTTGCTTCTTGACAATACGCACCCTACAAGCAAGCTCGGTTATTATGGTACAAATACAGAGACATCCTATGTGAGTTTCTTATTGCATGTAGCTTGTAGCCAGCAGTATAGTGACAACAAAGATAAAGTTGGTGAATGATAAAGACCGTATTTTCCACGCTTTGGGTGCAGGACCAGATGATCTAGAAAATGAGCTGAAATAGATTCAGCCTCAGAGCCTGTTGTGAAGAGCAGCTGATTCCCCTATTTCTGGCCAGATGGCTTCTGAACACAGATTTGCATTCATTTTCGCTTAATATCGTCCAAAATAGTGGGGCAGCTGCATTTGTTGTCAAAAAGGTTTAAAACTCTCTTTCTTTCTGGGGCAGGATCGTTACCTTATGTGACGGGCTTATGGAACTTTTTTTCCCACTCTCTCTCTTTAGTCAACAGTATCAGATTTAAAAGGATTTGTTTTAAAACCTTCTAATTTGGTAATCAGATTTAAATCGCCTTGGCGCGTGTAATCTGAATTAAAGATACTGTAAATGATTTTAAGCATTATGCTTTCGTTAGCACAGGAAAGAAACAACTTCAGCATTGGTTTATATATTTTAGAAAATATGTTACAATTAAAGCATTGTTCAGTATTTTAAACTTATTTTTAAGATAACGTATTTTGCATATTATGAGACCAGAAGCCTTAATTCATGTAGTGCACTGCACAAATCCAAAGCCTCTAAACACACACATGCAAACAAATACAATTTTTAACCAGAGCCCTATATTGTTTTGAAACTTTAGTTTGCTTGTCATTCCACGGTAAAAGTGTTACATTTTATAATCTCTTCTACTGTAACTGAAAAGCTCCGGGCTTATTATGAATATAGGAATTTTCTCTTAATTTATCATGAATAGTTTCCATACACTTTGATTTAAGGTTATTAACATTCTATAGACAGTGGCATCTTTAATATGTGGCGATCGCTTCTAAAGACTAATCTCATTACCCTCAAATAGTCATAAAATATGATTTTATTATACTTACGTATTTAATTAGACGGCCAGCAATGTAATGGATTTTGAGATCGGGTAGAGCAACAGCTTTGATAATTCACTTATCTTTGGCAATAGTCATTAACCCCCAACACCAGCAAAATAGATTGCTTTCTAACACATCTTTTTTTCTCACCCCTTGGAGGAGGGATCGGGGGTCTCCTGATAACACAAATCGGACTTCGATTTTCACCGATTAATTAAAATATTAACGTACATACCCTGCCAATTCACAAAAAGGGAAGTCCTAACCTATGCAAGGAGGAAAGAGCTCATCATTCAATACAGTTGTTGTGCTCAAGTCTTTTTCTTTTTTCTTTCTTTTTTTTTAAATCAAAGAGGGGGTGGAGTGCGGGGTCTGATTTGGCTCTGTAGGAAAGTGTCCAGGACATCCTTTGTCCATCCCCAGGGTCTTTCCCTCTGTATAAAAGTAAATGTCCTTTAAATAGGTTATGTTTGTATATACATTTCAGAATAATTCATCTCATGTTGTTAGTGTCATTCAGCCCACAAGTAATTAGCAATTCTGCTTTTACACCAATAGCCCTGCAGTTTTAATCATCAGCACGTTATATTTACATTTTTTATTCTAATGATTCCTCGAAATCAGCTTTTGAAAGATATTGTGGTCTCTATTCTAACCTGTTACCGGAAAACAGCTAAAGAGGAAATGGAACCACCACTTGGACATATAAGGCATCTGTTTTGATTTTAAAGACCACAGATCGCTTTAAGGTTTTTCAGCAAAACATAAACACGAGCATAACTTCATTGCGTGTAAAATACTTGCGAAACCAAGGCATACTTTAATATGCGTTTTGGTATGACACATATAGGCTATTGTTATATGTCAATAACCTTTCATACAAATCTTAGAAAGTTTGTATTTCTTGGCTGCATCTCTTGCTTTTCAAGATATCGGTGAATTATCAGAGCTTGCTTAGTACGATAATCACCCTCAGTCCAGTTTGCAGACCACCTGTAATATGTACAGGGCTTAGGCAATAAAATTCAACCAGAGACTTCATTTAGGTTTTTATGCAGCCAGGTATATTTGCCCGTTCTGTTTAATCACCAGCATTCATTCAATCCCGTTAACATAAGCATTTACTTGCTGCAACATTTTAATCATTCCTGGGACCCTGTTAATTTGACTCTGGGTATGCTTATGCCCGCTGATGACCAACCTTTATATGTTTTCTTCTGTTTCTTCATATTTTCTCTTTTAGCTTAAAAAAAGATACATTATTAGTATATTGCATAGATTTAGGTCAATCAGGATGCATTTGCTTAAATAAAGCTTTCGGCACTATATACATATTATTATTAATAATAATTAATATTATCATTATTATTATTATTATTATTTAACGTTTCTATGTGTGCTCAATCCGCATCTCGGCATTCTATGTATTTGTTTCTTTTAAAAGATTTATTTGGGCAAATAATAACTTCATTGGCTGTTGATATATATATAAAAAAATCACCCTTGCATTATAAAGGGGAAAAAAGTGTAGTGGAGACAGTACTAGTCTCAGGCTGCAGCAGTCAGTCAGAACTAAACAAGCTGTGGAGCTCTCGGCTAAAGGGAGGATTTGTACAGCCCCCCATATATGGTGCTGGTCCCGCCTCCTGAACGTCAGAATCTGACAGCGCTGTTCCCGTGGGCTTAGAGTTTTGGCTCCCGGGAAAGGTTCCATTCCTAGGGGATAGAGGGCTGAGTTTTGTACGCTTCCATCCATTCTGCAAGACGCTAAAGGCCCCTCATCAAGCTCTCCTGTGTCCAGGAACTCCTCCATGGTAATCATTTTTTCGTTTATTTGTCTTTTGGAGCAGGAGAGCCTTGCCAGAAGTGGTCGATTCAGCAGTGTCCTGAAGCTTTTTTGATGCTGTTTTACTAGGATGACACCACATTGAGAGCATCTGCAAACAACAACAAAAATATTTATTCTAAAAAACAACAACAACAAAACCCTCGCCATATCGTCGGCTGTAGTTACACTTTTCCTTTCCTTTTTTTATTTATTTTTTTAACCACCAAACTGGAACGCCATCCAACTAGCTGTAGAGAAGTACTCAGTAAATTGTTTATGTCGTGCCAATACAGGACAGATTGAAGAAAGAAGCAAGACTTGAACTGGGCTTTTCTCCTACTGATCACAGGGAGTAAAGTCATCTCTTATATTCCAGTCGCCAAGGAGAGAGAGGGAGAGAGAGAGAGGAGGGAGAGGAAAGAAAAAACTACAACCAACCCACCGTGTATCTGACTATTCGTACCCTTTAAACTTTTTAACCCCGTTTT